TCGCGGCACCCACTTGGAAAAAACCTTTTTCATGCTCAATTTTTCATGAAGGATAGTAAATACACTTCCATATGATATCTGTGTCATCTCAGCAATCTCACGGAGCTTCACTTTACGATCTTTCATTACAATTTTTATCACTTCACTCACATTTTCCGGTGTCACAGCTTCCACAGGTCTACCCGAGCGTTCCGCGTCATTTGTGTCGGTACGACCACGTTTAAACTCGGCAAACCACCGACAAATCGTTGCTTTTGATGGACAAGAGTCCGGGTAACATTTTTCAATCCATTGTTTTGCTTGCACGGTGTTTTTACCCATTAAAAAACAATGTTTTATCAGAACACGAAACTCGGTTTTTTCCATTTTTTAAACAAACTACAAAACGACTTTACTCTAACCTCGATAACTCAGCTGTTTCTAGTCCGATCGACTTAAAATTTTGACACGTTTCAAGCAAAGGTTAGTACTCTAGAAAGACGTGGTTACTGGTTTACTACGAGCGCCATCTCTGGGTTAGTCTCGGGACTTATTGATCCATGTGTTAAAGTGTTGCTAATTATAAGAAAAACATTTATAATTGTGGATATATTCTAACAATATCTTTTTGTTCAGTAGAGATCTCGATGCTTTCTTCTTGATTTGTGGTACCCTTAGGTGGATTCGGATTTCCTTGTAAAGAAGTTAATGTTTCTGCTACCTCCTCTTGAAATGTTTCCTTCCTTTTAGGTTTTTGGGAGAGATGTATGATTAAATTTGTAACTGAATCCTAAAAGACCCCGATCGGGTGTAATGACCAGCCATAGATTGTATGTATAGCGTATCCATGTATTATAGTGTCTATAATTAGTTTCACGGTTCTAATGAAGAAATAGATTCCGATTAATCCACTTGCGTTGCCAAAGGAAATAAAATTTCCCCAGATTTTTTCCAAGTATTTTCTGTGATTTTCAAGATTGAATTCTCGTCTAAGAGATGTGAAAGAGAGATTCCTTGGGAGGCTATTAGTTCGCTTTTAACTCCTCGTGCTAACATTTAGTATTCCTCCTTTTTCAGCTGGAAACATTATGTGATCCCGTAGGTTTTCGAGATCTGTGTCACTGTATATGCCGCTTGCTGCTAGCGATCCAGGATTTGTATAGTGCCATGTAGGTTTTGTCATGGGTTTCATAATTGTTGGAGGTATGGAGTGTTCGGGAGTTGGTATCATACGATACCGACCATCATTTAAAAAAAATATTGAAGATATGACACGATTATAGGAAATTTGTGTGTCTGTTTTAATTAATATAAAGTGTAGTAAAAAGAAATCTATTATTTTTCCAATAGATGGCTTTAGTAATCTGTATCTCGCGTTGTATAAGTGCGATCGGGTTACGCCAAATGGCGTTAGAAAGATAAGATTTCGTACTAAAAAAACTTCTCAGACAGTTTTGTGATTGCTTGAGCCAGTATTGTTTGAGCGCGTGTCAAAGATGGACACCAACAAAGAGAAAATACGCCATATTTTACAGTTTTTCTTCGATAAAGGCGAAAACGCAAGCCAGGCGGCTGAAAATGTGAATAGTGTTTATGGTCCTAATACTGTAACAGTCAATATCGCGCAATTTTGGTTTCGTCGATTCCGTTCCGGTAATTTTGATGTCAAAGATGCACCACGCTCTGGAAGGCCAATTGTCGAAAATGTCGATAAAATAATGGAAATCGTCGAGTCCGACCGTCATGTAAGCACTGTTTCGATTGCCCAGGAGCTAAACATTGCACAAAAAACCGTTTGGAACCATTTAAATAAGGCTGGATACAAAAAGAAGCTCGATGTATGGGTGCCACACTAGTTAACGCAAAAAAACCTCATGGACCGAATTTCCATCTGCGAATCGCTGCTGAATCGCAACAAAATCGACCCATTTCTGAAGCGAATGGTTACTGGTGATGAAAAGTGGGTCACTTACGACAACGTCAAGCGAAAACGGTCGTGGTCGAATCGCGATGAGCCGGCGCAAACGGTGGCCAAGCCAGGATTGACGATCAGGAAGGTTTTGCTGTGTGTTTGGTGGAATTGGCAGGGAATCATCTATAATACTATGAGCTGCTCCCCTACGGCCAAACTCTTAATTCGGACCTGTACTGTCAACAATTGGACCGTCTGAAAGAAGCAACCGCCCAGAAGCGGCCAGCTTTGGCCAATAGGAGAGGAATTGTGTTCCATCAAGACAACGCCAGGCCACACACATCGACTCGCCAGAAGCTCCGGGAGCTTGGTTGGGAGGTTCTTATGCATCCACCTTATAGTCCGGACTTGGCACCAAGTGATTACCACCTGTTCCTGTCTATGGCGAATGATTTTGCTGGTGAAAAATTCGCCTCATGAGAAGCTTGTGAAAATTGACTGTCCCAGTTTTTTGCCAATAGGGATGAGGGTTTCTATGAGAGAGGCATAATGAAATTACCTTCAAAATGGCAACAAGTTATCGAACAAAACGGTGCATATTTGACCTAAATCGGATCATTCTAACTATGCTAAATAAAGCCTTCAATTTAATGCAAAAATAATAGATTTCTTTTTACACCTTATATATATGTTCGTGGAGATAAAAAGTATGTCTCGTTACCTTTCTGAACTGGAAGCTCTGAGTAACATTCCTTAACGTGTTGAATTTTGACATCCACTGGAGTGCATTTGATGATATGCACTACTTCTCCAGAAATGACGGCTATGAATCCAGGTCCTTTTATAATCTGATATGCGAATTCATCTGGTGAAGTAATAGCGAGGCTGTGCGTCTTTTAAAACTTGTTGTTCCAGATTGCAGCGTTGTTTAAGGACATCTCTATACAGGAAGTTCATTTGAGAGTGTATATGTTTCTTTACATATATAAATTTAGAGATAATGTAGGTAAATATGTCTAGATTTTCAGTAAATAATCGACGTTTTGTAGCAAAAAATTTTCCTTTCTTGGTTTCGAAGATTAATAATTTCGGATGTTCCGTTTTCATTAATGTATATCCACATACAAGCTCTTCTCCAGCCCTGGTGAGTGCGAATGTTATATCCTGCGTTGATAGTGAATAGACGATTTGTGGATGTTCAAAGAAGGTGTCGACCATCCTATTAGCATATCCTTCGCAGAGAACGTCGTAATGATTAAATTTACAATGGTCTATTGGTAAAGTTTTCCAGAAGGTATGTCTTCCATCAATATTCATGCAAGTGGCGTCGGTATATGAATAGGTTGATATGACATGAAATGGGTCGATTTTGTTGCGATTCAGCAGCGATTCGCAGATGGAAATTCGGTCCATGAGGTTTTTTTGCGTTAACTCGTGTGGCACCCATACATCGAGCTTCTTTTTGTATCCAGCCTTATTTAAATGGTTCCAAACGGTTTTTTGTGCAATGTTTAGCTCCTGGGCAATCGAAACAGTGCTTACATGACGGTCGGACTCGACGATTTCCATTATTTTATCGACATTTTCGACAATTGGCCTTCCAGAGCGTGGTGCATCTTTGACATCAAAATTACCGGAATGGAATCGACGAAACCAAAATTGCGCGATATTGACTGTTACAGTATCAGGACCATAAACACTATTCACATTTTCAGCCGCCTGGCTTGCGTTTTCGCCTTTATCGAAGAAAAACTGTAAAATATGGCGTATTTTCTCTTTGTTGGTGTCCATCTTTGACACGCGCTCAAACAATACTGACTCAAGCAATCACAAAACTGAGAAGTTTTTTTAGTACGAAATCTTATCTTTCTAACGCCATTTGGCGTTACCCGATCGCACTTATACAACGCGAGATATAGATTACTAAAGCCATCTATTGGAAAAATAATAGATTTCTTTTTACTACACCTAATATACAGGAATTTTGTTGAGAAGTTGTTGGTAATGGACCGACTATGTCCGTTGATACCTTATCAAATGCAAAATATGGAGTATCTGTTATTAACATAGGTTATTTTAATACGAATCAATTTTTTTATTTGACATTGTAGGCAACGGTCAATGTAATCTTGTATATTGAGTTTTAAGTTGTTCTAATAGAAATTTTGTCTAATGCGATTGTATGCTTTGGTTATGCCCTTGTGGCTACCAACTACTGAGGAATGTGATTCTTCTATAACAGATTTTTGTTTTCCGATTTCTGGTATATGCACTAGTCTGTGGCAAATAACTAGTTTAATTGAAAATCCTATTAATGATTTGCGAATATAACTAAAAATTGTGCTCCATTTAAAATCATCAATTTCTGTTGTTTTTGCTACGCTTAATACCTTTATTGGATTATTAGTTAGTGTTTTGTGAAGTGAAATTGATAAATGATGCAATGTTTCTTTTGTTACTCTATCATTTATTTCTTTTTTGCAAATAAAAATAAAATGAGTTTTATTTCCCTTTTTAACAAGTGTTACCTTTCCTATTTGGACATTAGGCACCTGTGGAATTAATTTTTGTTCTTGAAGACATTTAAATACATTGTCACAAGGTTCGCCATCAGCGCTCATAAAATATAAATAATTTTTTTTATGCATAAATATTTGATCTCAATTATTTATAATATTATGTATTTGAGATCGTGTTACAATTTGTGGATTGTTAAGATGGTTTGGTTTTATTGGGATTGAACTCATTGAAATTTTTATCGATATCAATTTCGTCGTCGTCAATGTCATCGTTATTGCTATTGTCGTCATTGTCGGTATTTCTGTTACTAATATTATCTTTATTGTCATTAATGTCATTATTATCATCGTTACAAATTTCGCTAGTTTTAACCACCTTACGACTAATATCGTCTTGTTTGTCTTCGTCGTCCTTATTACACAAATCGTAATTTTTATTAATTTCATTACGGTCGTCTAAGTCTCTCATCAGATCGTCTATGATCTGTAATAGGTTGGGTGGAATGGTTGAAGTTATTTCTATAATATTTGGATCAGTTCTTGGTGCAAAATTTATATTTTCTTCCTCAAGGAAAGGAGAAGGAGAGAAGGGATTTGAATCATTCAGATTTTTTACAATCTGGTCTTTTGGTTCCTGATGTATCTCTGCTTCTACTGTATGTGAAGGATGGTTCTTGTAATTCTCTTCGGGTGAATGGTACGTTTTCCTTCTCTGTTAAGGTTGCATTACGGGTTTGCATTGCTGGTTTACATTCGGGCTTTGATTCCACTATCATTGATTCTTTTCGAGGTGATGATGGGAGAGGTCGCGGATTTGCATTTCTAATATGAGCTTCTTCGTCTTCTGAACATTCTTCGATTTCGTCAAATGAAGGTTGTATTGTACATACATATTTGTATAAGATTCCTCGATAATGCGTTTGCGTTCACATTTGTTTTTTCGGCTTTGTAAATAATTTCATAATCGTATTTAGCTAATTTAATTTTCCAACGTGCTAGTCATGAAGTAGGATCCTTTGCTTTGTGAAGCCAAGTCAATGATTTATGATCGGTAACCAAAGTAAATCTTTTACCATAAAGATAAGGTCGAAAATGTTTTACTATTGCGTAAACTATTGCTAATAATTCTTTTTCGATCGTAGAATAATTTTTTTCAGCATCATTTAGTACACGAGAAGCGTAACTTATAGATCGATCTTTTCCTATTGGTCCTTGACTTAAAATAACGCCCATGGATGTTCCTGACGCATTCGTTGTTACGACGAATGCTTTAGAAAAATCGGGATATTGTAACACCGGGTCTTTACATAACATATATTTTAGTGTATTGAAAGAATCTTGTTCTATCTGTAATAATCAAAATTAGCATTATTTTCAACAAATGAATTAAGAAAAATGGGGTCAAGATATTTTGCAAATTAAATAATTTGAGAAAATGGACTCCTAAAATACTGTTACGTCCGGATTCCACAGTTCTTTTCTTTGACTAAAACTTTCGTCATCACCATAAGAATTATTAACAAGTAATACCGGTAGACCATCTGTTTCTGAGAGGTTGCAACATAGCGACAAGCCGAATAACCTTGTTAAACTAATAATCCACTCGAGACAGAGTCGTTGGATTAGATATTTGAACCAAGTGCCAAATAGGCGAACTTTATCCCGAGGAACAGGAAAAATTAATAGATTAAAATTATAAAACAGCAGTTGTCTGTAATAAATGACACATGTGGCTCTAAACTATTGGATATCCGGCAAATAGTCGATGACAAAAGTTGTCTTAGACACATACCCCTGTATCCCATTTCACAACCGATATCCTTAATCCTAATCCTAGATTAGACCAACAGCACACGTGAGCTCTGCATCACTAACTCGCCAATATAAAAAGAGGTCCTCCACGAGGAACGCTCAGTCGTCAGTCATTTTTCCAACCGTTACTCTGCCGGTCTCAGTTGGCAGTCATCAGTCATTTTCCAAACGAAATTCTGCCGGTTTGTGACTATACGTAGTTGTCAGTTATCAGTTGTCAATCGACAATTTTTTCCAAACGAAATTCTGCCGGTTAGCAACTATACGTAGTTCTCAGTCGAACTCCATCTCCTTTGAAACTTTGAATAAGAGTGACTCGAACGGAGCCTCCGCATCCGAGTGGGAACCCTCCGTAGAATGCTGAGACCAAAGAAATTCAGCCGTGGCGGCCACCCACATCCGCAGAATAACATTAAGTCCCATTCTGACCCACACACACACACAAACACGCACGCGCGCTTTTACACACACACACACACACACACACACACACACACACACACACACACACACACACACACACGTAGGCTGTTGGAAAAGTTTCTGCAATCTAGTACTTCCAGTGGCGCCAACATTGTGCTACTATCATACCCGTAAAATTAGACGTTATTTTAACCTATAATTCAATTGACAGTGTATCCAAACCAACTAGTTTTGTTTGCATAGTATTTTAAAAAAAGTTATTTAGTAAGAAAATGGAAATTTCGCGTGAAAATATTCGGGCAATGATTTTTTATGATTATAAATGTAATCTAACTCCGAAACAATGCATCAATCGACTTCATTTGGCTTTTGGGGATAAAGCACCATCCAATAGGACTGTTTATAATTGGTTTGCCGAATTCCAGCGTGGACGTACCTTTCTTAGTGATGAATTCCGTGAAGGTCGTCCATCCACGTCTGTTGTTGCCACTAATGTTGATGTTGTGCGTGAAATGATTGAGCGAGACCGGCACATAACATACGGCGAGATTCAGGCATTCTTAGGCATTGACATGAAAGCAATACATACAGTTTTGCAAGATCACTTGAGCGTACGGAAACTTTGCAGTCGTTGAATTCCACACAATTTAACCGAAGGTTAAAAACAGGCTCGTGTTAAATGGAGCAAAGAAATGCTCAAGAAATTCAACCGAGTCAAATTTGGTCTACAACATCGTTACTGGGGACGAAACTGGATATATTCGTATGAGCCCGAAAGTAAACAACAATACACTGTTTGGGTATTTCAAAATGAACCGAAACCAACAAAAAAGTTTTTCGTTCACGCAGTGCTGCCAAGCAAATGATTGCTTGTTTCTTCGGTTATACCGGACATGTGACAACCGTGACTTTAGAGGATCGAAGGACTATAAATACTGATTGGTATACAACAATTTGTTTGCCAGAAGTCATCAATGAATTGCGTAGAACAAAACCAAAACCGTCGCATCATCCTTCATCATGACAACGCTGTCACACAGCACGTCAAACCGTTGATTTTTTATCCAGTAATAATGTCGAATTGATGACTCATTGTCCGTATTCACCTGATTTATTACCTAATGACTTCTTTTTGTTCCCAAACATTAAAAATAAGATGCGTGGTGAGCGATTTAGTCGCCTGAAGCAGCTGTTTCGTACACTGATTTCTGAGGTACAGCCTTAGAGTGGAAAAAAATGCTTCGAAAATTGGTTCGAGCGTATGCAAAAATGTATCGATCTTAAAGGCGAATACTTCGAAAAACAATAAAGCCATTTACCGAATTTTACATGTTTTTTTTCATATTGTTTGCAGAAATTTTTCCAGCAGCCTACGTATATGTAAATAAGAAGCATCCGCTATAATTTACACTAAATTATAGTGCCGCGTCTAAACCGTCCCTACAAGGGATGGCCTATCGGGAAGCGTGGAGACTCTTGGACGAGAAGTTCCGGAGATACCTCGGAGGTTCGCGAGAACAGAGTCGCCCGGCCGAGGACCATTTGCCATCACCACCACCCTCGTCACCACCGGCTCCGCCGGCTATACCTAATCAGTTAGAGGTTATACCTCCCCCTCAACGACCTTCCCCTCAACCACATTCACCTTCCCCACAACCACCTTCATCTCCCCCTCAAACACCTTCACCTCCCCTGCAAACTTTTTCGCCTCCCCCTCGATCTCCGTCACCCGTGTTTTCGGACTCACTGACGGAGCGAATCTTTCCAGATACTCCCCCACTATCACCCGATTCATCGATCGATCCTATCCCTCAGAAGAATTCCGTTCCGGACAAACTCTACGGACAGCGTGGAGTTCTCAGGGGATATTCCTCCACTCCCACCTACATCATATTTCTGAATCCTAGAGTGACACTCTCGAGTCAATCATCACTCATCAGCCAATTCCCGCGGACTACTACCGCATCCATCTCTCAGGGAGCCTACACAATCGGCCCTTATTACTTCGATCCTGAGAAAATCCGGAATGCTATCACTGGCCAAAACTCAACCTCCTGTATCCCTGTATTCCTTCCGAATTCCGCCAATCCATTCCTAGTTCCAGTAGAATTCTTTTATAATCTTTTCCTCCTTCCTCCGTTTCCATCCACGAAATAGATTAATCAAATCCCATCCGATTCTCCCAACTACTCGATGTACATAAAGCGTATGCCCGTTACTAAATAGACTGTTGCGGTATTTATGTAATAGATTAAAATGTATAGATTAGTTATAATAAATACACCTATTGTTATATAACCGTCTGTTATTCTTATCTTTTGATTAGCAACAATAAATAATGTTAGTAATTATTCTTCTCGCTACCGTCATTCACTTTTGAAACCCTCTAATAGAACCTCATTAATCATTAAACCTTGCCCTTCAGAGCTCGCATGTGGTCCATTCCTGAGTTAAAGGGATTTCCCTGACTCGAAATTCGGACCGACGATCGCATCGCTTGTAGGAAACAAGTGTCATAGCGTCTTTACGAGACGTTGACCATATTCCGAAGCGAGCAATAAAAAGGGTGCGTTCGACTCGCGATATTTGCTTCTGTGCGGATACTTGCGAGACAAGAGTCTGACTATCCTTCCACATTCCATCCTTTCTACTCCTTTCTCTCTTTAAATCCATTTTTCTGAGCTTGGACATAACAATACAATCATCGTTTATTTTACCAATCAACATTCTACTTCTAGGGAATATTTTGCAAGTCGAACTTTGGTTATGATTTTATATTTAATTATAATCTGTTCCCCCGTGGGTACTTGACATTACAATTATCTATTTCTATTCTTAATACTTCCGATTCGATAAATCTTTGATTTATTATAGAAATATCGGAACCCATAGCGATTTTAAAAATACAAGGTTTATCATTTACCCCACCCTTATAACAAAATTATGCTTAATTCTATTTATCTTGAAAAAACAGAGATTAGCACACAAATTATCAATCAAAGAATATAGATCGTTAGCACAACAATTATTTTTATTTCCAATTTTGTTAAACCTGAAAGAATAATCATTAGTACATACATTGTCAAAAACATTACAAGAACATTGGTTAACCGTAAAACAATTACTTTTGGGGTTATTTCTATTTTAGTCGAACTTGCGCCGATCATTCCTCGATCATAGCTCGACTATTGCTTATTTCCCGTCTCCGTCTTGTCTGGACACTCGGAGCGAAAGTGACTGTCCTTACCACATTCTCAACATTCCCTCTTATTACTGACTTTCGTATCGTTTCTGATTTTAAACGAATTCCTGTTATTATTTCCTCTGTCCTTTTTTTCTTTATTATCTTAAATTTATTCTCTTTTTCTTTCGTTGAAATATTTTCCCTTATGGCTAAAATTATTTTCATGAATTAATTTTACAACCTTAGCCCTTTCAATCCCTACTCTAAGAAATGTCACTCCCTCCAGTTGAAAGGTTCTTTTCACGAAGTTATCTGACAAGGCGAAGACAAATTGGGTACAAACAATTTTATTCTGAATGTTCATTCCGGATAGGCCAATTGCGACAATCTTTCAATATCCGTATATTCCAACGTAGCCAGATTTTCGTTGAGTTTTTGCTTTCTATTTGTAAACTGTGAATAATTGTTCTGTGCCGATTGACTCTCTTCGAAGCGCAACTCTAATTTTGATTTTAGTTCGGCAAAATCTAAAGTTTCTATAATAGATTCTCTACATTTTTTTAAATTGCGCGCGCTTTTCCTCTTAGACACGACACTAAGACGACAGTTTTTGTCTCTTCAGACCAACCGTTCGTACGCGATTATTAAACTGAATTGAGAAAAGAATTCGCAAAGGCACATTACGTATCCGGGTTTAACTTATTTCCTCTTGCGACAGAGTACGCACATCATAACATTCACGCGCGAGAACGGAGTGGTCTCCGCCGGCAGCATGACGGCAAGAAGTAGTACATGAATTCGCGAGAATCCTATTAAGAGTGAAGGGACTTATCTAGTTATTCGTTGCGGACGCTCTTCGCAAGCTCTTCTGCATTGAACGGATCTTCGCATCCTATCGTTGTAAAATCACCGCAAGCTGCTTCTGTTTGTGTGCCTGTTCCTCACGTAGTTGTTATATTTCGCGGAGAATACCTAGTCCAAGATCCCACCTCGAGTTTGTGTACCTATCGCGTATGTAGATGAAATGTAAAAAAAATCGAAGTTCGTGTTGAGAGCAAACTACTAGCACTAAACCATAAAGGTGTCGAAAAAAAGTGGTCAGGAATATCATTAATTACGTTTTTGATTAAAAAATTTTGAAAAAATGATCATCGCATATGTTTATAAAAGGGCTATTGTTGGAAAGGGGAGGATCTGTAAATTACGAAAATGGTAGGGTGCCATCTTTAAAGTGGTCACAACCCTCTAGCAGCGAGGATAAAGAGAGTGAGTAATAAATGAATTTTTGTTCATTAAATGCACTCATCGTGTAGTTTAATAATTTTTGCATTAGATCGTAGCTTAATGTTTACTCTTTACGGAATAGGGTTGTCTTAAAAAAACTGGTCTAAAGTGAGGGTTATCAGCGTTTTAAAAAACCACTCCGGCCGGCGAAAGCGAATTCAAGATAAAAGAAACTGAGCGCGGCTCCGGACGGTGAACAAGGACGCAGTAATTGACGGTTGAACGTGTGCGTGTTCATCATATACGTTCGACTGTTTACTCACCCTCTTTATCCTGGCTGCTAGAGGATTGTGGCCACTTTAAAGGTGGCACCCTATCATTTTCGTAATCTACAGATCCTCCCCTTTCCTAATCTTTTTATAAACATACGCGATGGGTCATTTTTCAAAATTTTTTAATCAATAAGTCGTGATTAAAGATATTCCTGACTACTTTTTTTTAGACACCCTTGCGGTTTAGTGTTGCTCTCAACACTATTTCAATTTTTTTTTACATTTTATCTGCATACGCGATAGATGCACAAATTCGCGGTGGGATCTCGTACTAGAATGACTTGTAGGTCGTCTCCGACGTTTGTTCGAGTTCTCGCCGGATAGTCTGCGGAGTTGTCGCTTCCGTTGTTCTCTCCGAATCCTCCATGTGCGCTCGGCTCCGCGTATTCACTGGTGAACGGAACATTAACCGCTGTCGAGATTCTCGATCCCGGACGAACCCTCAAAATATTACGCCCGCGCGGCCGATTTACGAGGTCGTGCTTGTGGACGCGCACACGCACTCGGCGAAATAAACAAGACAAATGTTAAGAAGAAAAACAAGAAGCGTTCATTAATGCAGAATACATAACTGAACACGAAAGTTAAAGTGTTAGATGGAGCAATCAAGAGATACGTCCAAACGCGCTGACAGCTCACATCCAAATCTGGCAATCTTGTTGTCAGACAGACGAATGCCTAATCGTCTCGTAACGCGTGCTTTTCGCTACACTACAATATTTATATTTTATTTTGTATGATTATTAACATGAAATAAGATAATCTATTTAAGTATATTTACGCGGCGTAAATGTACTTATCTCATACAGTACAAAATGTTCAAAGAATATTGTTAAGATATTGCAATGTTGAATGTTGTGTCAATATTTTATCAATGTTGTAATTATATTGTATCTTTTACGTTGATTGTTAATACTGCTGTAACGTTGGATTAATATTAAATAAATTATATCAAAATCTATTTTATTTTGTAAAAAATAAACAAAAATAGAATGTCATGTAAATAAAAAATTTTAATTAATTAAATTGATCTTTTAACGAAACTTATTTCCAAATGATATATGTTTGCGGGGGAATCGACTTCGCGTGCAGCAAAGTACTCGCGTATGTGACATTGTTTATGATTAACCAATTTAATGCGCAACATTGATTCGTGATCTTTTTACATAAGTAATCCATCCACGCGAAACTGAAAATAGGATGGGAATCGTTTTGCGTGAAAGTCGTGCGCCCTCAAGCAGGGGGGAGATGAGATAGAAGTCGCGTAGAAATCGTGCACCCCCAATCAGAGGGGGAATTGGGGTGGAAGTCGCTTCGCGTAGAAGTCGTGCGCCTCCCAAGCAGGCAGGAGGGGTTTGTGTGTACAGTTGTAAAATATATTTTTAAGTAGCAAAATTTTTGTTCTATATAGTAAAGAGAACATTTATATATAAACTTTCTTTCTTAATAACTTTTTAACGAAGGATGAGCGACAGCTAAAAACCTATTGGAGATCACTGAGGGTCATGACCTTGACAACATACGAGGTCTGTTCAAAAAATATCGCGAATTTTGTGTTTTTTCAAAAATTATTTATTTATTCATGAATATCTATTTTGTCCCCTTCAAAGTAATCCCCATCAGATATTATACACTTGTGCCAACGTTTTTTCCAATCCTCGAAGCACTTCAAAAAATTATTTTTTGTGATCTTGTTCAGCTCCTCCTTCGATGCCTTTATGGTTTTATCAATCGTAGCGTAGCGTCGTCCTTTCATGGGCCTCTTCAGTTTCGGGAACAAGAAAAAGTCACAGGGGGCCAGATCTGGGGAATACGGTGGCTGCGGCATCATTAGTGTGTTGTTTTTGGTCAAAAATTCGCGCACAAGCAACGATGTGTGAGCAGGGGCGTTATCATGGTGCAAAAGCCAATTTTTGTTCTTCCACAAATCCGGGCGTTTCTGGCGGATTGCTTCGCGCAAATTGCGCATAACTTGCAGGTAATATTCCTTATTGACCGTTCTACCCTGTGGCAAGAACTCATGATGCACCACGCCCCTGCAATCGAAGAAAACTGTAAGCAAAACCTTCACATTCGACCGAACTTGGCGCGCTTTTTTCGGTCTTGGCTCGTGCGGCAGCTTCCATTGGGATGATTGAGCTTTGGTTTCCACGTCATAACCATAAACCCATGATTCGTCACCAGTTATGACCCTCTGGAGCAAATTTGGGTCGTCGCGGACAGAGTCCAACAGCTCCTTAGCAATGTTAATGCGATGCTGTTTTTGGTCGAAATTGAGCAATTTTGGTACGAATTTCGCGGCGACCCGTCTCATGCCCAAATCATTGGTAAAAATCGAATGGCACGAGCCAATCGATATGTTTAGGTCCTCAGCAACCTCTCTAACGGTGATTCGACGATTGGCCAATACTATTTTC